TTGTAACAAAGTGATTCAAAAGTGAGCTTTTTATACCGAAACTTTTGCATTGAGCTAAAAAGCGCACCTGTGCTAATTTCGCAAAGTTTTACTGTACTTTCCAGAATAACTCAAATAACTCAAATTGCCTCAAGCCGCTGAATTAATCAGCTGGCTCACTGTTAACCGAGATAACCGAATCTTTTTCTGGCCCGTTTAATATACACATTGTCATTAAAGTACCATGCCGAATGATTGTTCGATAACCACTTCGTCTCTAATACATTCCATTCGTGTGGGGTCAAGTTGGCTTCATCAGAAAAAGCTTTCATTTCCTGGTTTAATACCATCAACAATAGCCTAAATGTCTAGATGTTTCCATGTAATATTTTCTCTAGCGAGCCATGAAAGAGTTATCCATTGTTCATTACAATGTTGCTTTAATCATCAGTCTCTGGTGGTAAAAACGGTCAATTCCGACAATAACTTCATAACGGTTGAGATATTTAAAGCGTTTTACCTTAATAGCATGATGATTTTTCAACATTTTCACCATCTACCGGAATCACAATTTGCTGATTTCAGATTGGCGAAATGATGCTGAAGATTAACACCTCAGAACCCATTAGTTGAACCCAATTGATTCTTGTATACTGGCCGATTTGTTTTTATTTTCCGCTTTACTCGCGTATCAAGAGAATACGTACGAGATAAAGTGAAAGATTAAGCGCAGCTGGAGTCAAATGTGACGGCTTTAACACTTCCTTGTAATATGTCTACAAGGCAATCTTCAGAGGTGCTTAATTTCCAACGGCTGCAACAGCCTCTGAAGATGTTAGCTATGCGTGCTAGCGAAACGTCTGGATTAAATTCCTATCGACGTCGGCGTAATAACCCAAAAAATCTGTGCACCAGTGTGTTTGCAATTTCATATGACCGAGATCTCTACCTGCTTATAAAACTGTTCAACTTATTAAGGCTCTGCTAACTTTTATGTTCGCATAAACACATTGTACGGTCGTCAACATACAGTTTTTAAATGTGGGTTTACAATTCAAATTAGTTATTTTCTGTTATAACAGTAAAACTTGTTTTCCAATTGGTTGTATGTAGATTTTCAACATTAGTTACCTGGTTTAACGTTGACAAATTCTTCTTCTGGCGCTATTCAGTGTTGTCCGATCAAGGACTAGCTGATATTTTACCTATTTTTTGGTTCTATTATTTTGATTTATTTTCCTGCGTTTGACTGCGTGTAATTGTCATTATGTTATTTTTTGTCCTGGGCTCCAGTCAAAGTATGAAACAAACATTTTGTATATCGTTTATTTCATTACGTTTCGGCTAGACAACAGCGCCATCATCGGATTTTAAAATTCATACACTCATAATTGGCAAACATTACATATATTTAGGTCTTTGCTGTCTTCAAACCTTCAATTTGTTTCTTCAAATGAAACAATTTCCTTATCGATGGTTCAGTTTCTTAAAAGGCAATTCAGAAGTCCCCCCGGATGGGTTTGGAAACCTAGTTATATTAAAAACCTTTGACGGCCGTTAAACATCAGCTGAAGCAAGAAAAAATGTAAAAACCCCAACATTTCGAGCTGTAGTTTGCTGTTGACACAATCGTTTAAAGAAAAGTCACACGGATTCGCGTTTCTTGGAAGAGTTGACAGTGAATTATTCAAAAAGGTTGCTTACTTTTGGCTGGCTTGTGGAGCACAATTATGTTACCTGTTCATTTAATTAATCGCCATGTAACAAGCTGGGCAGCACAAAGACCCAACAAAACGGCCGTGTTAAAGAAAATTACGAAACATCATAAATTATGAAAAAGAGCCGAATAAAAAAGCGGCCTTAACGACACGACAGTCACCGTGTCGACGATTTTGTGTCTCCTTTTTCCAAAGCGCTTTTTGTCTCTGGCAACGATAAATCGCAATTTTTAGCCGCGAAATAATCGGAACCAGCGGGCGGGAATCTTAAGAATGAGATGAACAGGGAGAGAATTCAGCCGTTTTGCCCACGCCGCATTTACATAGTAGTTGGAATTGTCAATTGCTTTGCTTCGCTACTTCAGCCTCATAAATTTGCAACTAAATCGTCTTTCGATTTCTTCATGGAACCCATTTAACTTAGGACTAATTCCGCAGGAGACAGCGATGTTAGAGACACTGTTTATTGCTCGAAACTATAAATTGAAAATAAATCGTCATTTTCTCCATCAGATAATGGATACCAATCTACCAATGCAGGTGTTTCACGGATTCCAACATACGCACACAGGTAATGAAAAATTGACGAAAGCAACCAAAGACCCACGGAAGATTAACTGAGGACCAGTTTGGCAGCAGAAAAACCAATATTCTATGCTGTGCCATAGAAGTATTCGTTCACAAACAGACGCCTGCCGAAGACTTCAATGCTTGATCTACGATGGTAATCTTGATTCTGTTAATGAGGTCGTTCATTTGTTGAGCTTCCTGATATATTTATACCTATTTCCTTGCACCTATCATTGAACGCTTTACATTCATCGCCATAAAACAATCTTGCTGAGCGACGCAAACGACTTTGTTAGGATTTACGTAAGCCGGGGATATTAAGAAATGTTACAACTAGTGTAGAGCTTTGATCTGCGATTAGATTAATCTAAGCTCATATTTCATTCGGCTAGTTCAAGACGATTTAAGACCTGCCCCGGACAAGATTGCCTGCTTATTTATGTGGCGTTTTCTGAAGAAAAGCAGTTTTTTTCCCTGAAAACCAACCGGCCGTATTGCCTTTGCGTCGCTGCTGAAAATTTTCATTGAATTCCCAATACAAAATGCCGAGCCCGCATCTCAAAAGGTACGAAATAATCACCTATTGTCTTCGACGACCACAATTCGCCACTGCCATCAAATATATTTCATTTGACACCTCTCTTATGGTCATCCTTTCCTCAACATGGTCATAATGAACATGTTATGTCCTTACAATGGTCCGTAACGGAGATTATGTAAAGCCTAGTCCGAGAAATGAGATGCCATTATGCGGGAGACAATCGTTTCTTTGATTTATAATTTCGGACTATTGGACAGGACGAGATTCTTGAGCGTCAAGTGTATCACCGTAAAGGTACCCATCGATGTGTACCAATAGAATGGGCTCGTTGTGCTTGGAATACTTAAGCGACCCGATCTAGTACAGCATTTAAGGAACTGGCGATTTTTGCCACATTTTTGGTGCCCAACACCATGTTCAATTCATTAATGTCTTGCTTTATTAAGAAGCAGTTTCTTCCCGTTAGCCGCCAGCTCCACTAAAATCATCAACAACCAGAAACTGATAATCTAATTAAATATTTATAAATTCCCAGTCCAACATGGCACTGCGGGGCAGCTCCATTAGGCGTCCGATTTACATTTCAGCCTATAACGTGTTTTTGAGCTATCTTTTCGACCGGTAATTGAATAAACTGTTTTCGTTCGTGAAACGTTGCGAATTCAAAATGATGAAGATACGGAACGGGGGCATTAGCAAGCCAACGAATGCCGTTTCTTCCTAGTTTAGTCTAGCGATTCCATCAAATGGCAACAAAAGCTTTTTCCTTTGTGTAAGGAAGCTCCGCCTTATTCGCGACTTACCAACACATCACAAACAAATCACAAACAATTGTGAACGTTCGCGTCTTTTTTGAAATTTCGTAAATCATTGAAATTATTTCTCGAAAAACACCAAAGGACTTCTTCGATGAAAAACTGTATATCCTGGACGAAAGTGGAGGGAAAAGATATGCAGAAAAAATGGATAATTGTACAAAGAACACGTGGCGGAACGTAACAGTTAAAATGGTTCAAGAAATATTCAAAGAGAGCTTGATGTGGCTACTTAATGATGGTTAATAAGGCGAAAGACGCTCTGAGACGTACCTTACAAACTGATGTGAAAAAAAATTATACGATGGAAACACTCCAGAAAATCTCCAGGAAAAACCATAATGTCATAAGAGCTGATATTTCAAGGACGTATTACAAGTTGTTCGATGGACTTTTTCCGAAGAAATAGACCTCCCGGACTGGGAAACATCTAATTAAAAATTATTTGTTTTTCGTGCATTTTTGTACACCCTGTACCAATTCCAATTAGGAATAAACACTTTCTTGTGAGGCAGCCAGTGTCTCATTGAAAATGGGATTAGAAACACTTATTCATTCTCTCAAAACTCAACGTCTCAAGCATGCAGCACCACCGTGTATTTTTTATAACCCGTGGATGATTATTGATTAGTAATCTATTTTCTTGGCCTCATTTGCCACTGGAACTGTTAACTCAACAGAAAATGGCTTTAAGCCTTGGTATGCATGCCAAGGCTTAAAGCAGCAACAACGCTACACATAAAAATTGATGATGGTGGAAAAATACACCGAAACGTATTTTGATTAATAAATAGAGACAATAAATGACTGAAACCCAGGAATAAATTTGAATTGGAATTGAAATACAGTCAGGAAAGTATATACAATTTCCTCTATTTTCCACGCCATTCAAGTTCTTTCGATAAAAACTGAACCTCGACCTGTAAATCATGCACTTTTTGCCAGTACAGGAAATGTTCCGATAGAAATGACTGACGACTATGAACATACATACATACTATCGACATTGATAAAAAATCATCAATGTGTATTTGCATTGGCTGAGGGTCAAAGTATCACGTCAAGTATACCAGGGACATTGATTACCTCTGGCGGAAAGGAAGCTTGATAGATGAAGGACGGATTTCACTCATAATGAAGATCATACTGTTTATGAAAAATCAATTTCTCCTTTCCCTAATTTTCTGCCAGAACAGAATCCCGTTCAGGATCATTCATCAAACCAGGACAATAAATTCTTAATAAAGAACTTGACTTCTGTCGTGGATTTCTCCAATCTCCGAAGCCATTCGTTCAAGGCTTCCGTCGTTCAGTCGAATACCTCAAACCACCCTGGTAGCTAACACAGATAACACAATATATGAACCAATCTGATAAGAGTGATGATAACAATTAAACACACAGCGAGCATCACCAATCACGGGTCAGTCATGAAGCAGTTCAGTGCCATCCTTCTGCTCCTTGGCTTTTTCAGCGCAGGCTCGGAAGGCCTTCGGCTGCTGCTGGTGTTTCCGCCCCCTTACCGAAGCCACTACATTCTTGGAAACGCGCTTGGGAAAGGCCTGGCCCGTCTGGGGCACAATGTTACCCTCATCTCCTACTACAAGGATCCCAATCCGCCCCCGAATTTCCGGGAGATTGTTGTGGATGACCGACCCCAGAGTGAGACTGAAGCTCTGCTGAACCGGGAGGTTTGAGTGATAGATTTAATCGATTCCAGTCGCTCCGCTTAGTGGAGGGGTCCAGAGGAACATGTTCGAAATGGAGAGTCTGTCCCCATACGCTATCCTGCTCCATCTCACGAAATCTGCGGGGCCGGTGTATACCGAGCCAGCGCTCAACCACACCAAAGTGCGCGCACTGCTTGCTTCAGAGGAGCAGTTTGACGCCGTGATTGTTGAGCAGTTCTTCAATGACGCCCTCAAATATTTCGCCCACCACTTCCAGGCCCCACTGATCGTCTTCAGTACTGTCGGCTCCAATCGCTGGGTCAACAAGCTGGTGGCCAATCCAGAGAACCCTAGCTACGTGCCGGATGTGCTGCTCAGCTTCTCTGGGCAGATGACGTTCCAGCAACGGCTCTACAACCTGGTGTTTGGGCTGGTCAGCGACGTTGTTTGCTACCGCTTCATCTACCCTCAACAGGACGCGCTGTTGAGGAAGCATTACCCAGAGGCGCCTCCTTTAGAGACTCTGCTCTACAATGTGTCGCTGGTACTGATCAATTCACACGAGAGTATCAATGAGGCGGCGCCTCTGGTGCCCAACATGGTCCACATTGGCGGCTTCCACATCGACACGCCCAAGGAACTGCCCCCGGACTTAAAGGAGTTTATGGACGGCGCATCCAAGGGCGTGATATACTTCAGCTTGGGGTCGAACTTGAACGCCGCCAACATGCCAAAGGAAAAACAGGCGGTGTTTTTGGAGGTGCTGAGAAACCGGGAGGAGAAGGTGCTTTGGAAGTGGGATGGCGATGTTTTTGAGGATCAGCCCTCCAATGTCAAGATCTCCAAGTGGTTTCCTCAGCAGGCCGTGTTGGGTGAGTGCAACGTTTGGCGTCCCTTCAATCTTCTGCAGGTTCAATGGGCCTTTTCCAGCCCACCCGAACTGCAAGCTCTTCATCTCCCATGGAGGTTTGCTGAGCACGACCGAAACCGTTTCCCTAGGGGTTCCAGTGCTGGCCATCCCGATCTTCGCCGACCAGAAGCTAAACGCCGGCCGCATCCAGGCCAAAGGCTTCGGTCTGACCATTCCCTTCTCCCAGATGACGCGAAACTCTTTGAACGCCGCCCTGGACGATCTTCTGGATAATCCGAAGTGAGCCTCCATTCGACTTCCGGCCGGCCGGATTTAAGTCACACGAATTTCAGGTATCGCCGTAACGTGCAAATGGGTTCGCGCCTACTACATGACCGCCCCATAGAGCCAATGGCATTGGCCGACTACTGGATCCGATATGTAGTCAGGCACAAGGGGGCGCACCATTTAAGGGTGGCAGGGACTCGACTGCCCCTTTTCCGCTACTTTATGCTGGATCAATTGGGGGTTTTCTTGGGCGTTTTGATACTGGCAGGGTGGCTGCTTAGCAGGACGCGCAGGGTATTTAGCAAGAGCACGCTGAAGGCGAAGGAAGAGTAAAATGTCCGAGTAGATATCCAACGTTTTGCTGGTAGCAAGATTCAAAACCGTAGAAAGGCGGCAGTCTTGTGTGAATAAGGTGTAATTTATTGCATGGTTAAAGTTTCCGGCTTCGACTCAATCGTTTAAAGTTTCATCTTTTTTAAATGAATCCAAGGACAGGTAATAATCCAGTTATTATAATCTTATCGTTATTAAAACTTACCTCATAATTGATAAAAAGAGAATGTAATGTGTACCAATTATGAGGTGAGTTTTTCAAATGTTTTGCTCCCCCAAAAGGAAAGGGTTTTTTCTTAAGAACTAATGAATGCTTTAACGCTTTGTAAATTACAGTTTTTGTACAACATAATTTAATTGTAAATTGGTGTTTGTAGTTTGTATGAATTTTAAATCTGATGATGGCGCTGTTGTCTCGATATACAAATTTTTATTTCACATTTTGACTGAAACCGAGGATGGATAAGAATATAATAATTTGTCCTTTTCGTATTTTTTGATAATTTGTTTTAATTCAAAGGCAAAACAACCCGAGTGCTTTTTTGCATAAAAATGTATTTAAAAAAATTATTTAGTTATTGAGTAGAAGTGTTTGTCCTTAATTTGAGTCTCTCCGTAACACAGACTAATTTAATTTACAAGCTAAGAATTTTCCATTGCAAGAAAACTTTGACTATTCATATCTCTAAATAAACCGTTTGTGACTAACCCTTCAATTACAATATTCTTCGACCAAATCTATTCAATACCATCCATACTTATCTCATTCTATCCTCGGTAGCTTCTACTGAAATATACTCCCATTATCATTATCTACTTAACATATTTTGAATCGCATCTCAATCATATTATCCATGTTTCTTTCGACAGGCAGAACTTGTTTTATTGTGCGACTAGAGAGATAATGCTGGCTGAAGCATTCAATTAATTAATTAAATATACACCTGGATTTATCTTCGTTCCGATATGAATGCCTATTCGGGAGTTTTTCAGGTATCAGCTAGGCAGCTAACTTCGGCATACGTTTCTTGTTGAAGATAGCCGGGCATTGTTTATATCGCTTATTACCATACTGAAGTGTCTCAGGAAAAGTTTACTTAGCAATTAGCGTAATGGGAAAATATTGGCTTATCGAATGGAAGCTTGATTACACACTCTCTTCAAACAATAATGGAAAAATAGACATCAAAACTAACGCCCAAGCACAGTGTAAAAAACGCACTTTAAAGGCAACGGTAAAAAGGCAGAATCGCGGGCAAGCATTTCGACAATGGCAAAATCCAGTTCTCAGCAGGTTGAGTTCTCTAATAGACTGGCGGCTTGTCTTGACGAAATAATCATCATTCAAAAGGTACAAGTGAAACATAATTGGGCGCAGCGGGTGCAAGCCGCCGCATCACTCTGTACAACATTATTATTGAAAGCAACGAAAAATGAACACGCAGTGTGGCAAATAGATGGAAAACACTAAAAGCGAACAGAAAAAACCCAGTCTAGAATAATCAATCAACAGCCTAATCATTAGTTCTTTATGTCGGTAATTTGCATAGCCTGCTGCTTTCAACTTCCTGCTTTTGCAATATATCTGGAATTTTTAATTTTGAAAGTTCCAAACTTACTAATCGGTGCGAATCTTGAAAAATCATTAAAACACATTGCCTGAGAAATGGTTGCAAACGTTTCATCAAATCACTGAAGGGCATCACGACGAGTAATTGCGTTTTTGTTATCTCATTTCAAAAGGCAAAACGGAAAAATATTCAACGCAAAAATACGAAATAGAATGAAAACCTCATGCAACTGTAAGAGCATGTTTAACAAGTGAATTCACTAGTCATGGCCTCGAATAGGCAAATGGAATCAAGTTGTCGGCAACAGATTGGATGCAAAAAGGCCATGTAAAACAGACCCCCTGCACGTTCCATCTGTACTGAACACTTTGATTTAAGAATAATGTGTCATCGTAATAAATAACTGTTTTCATCGCGATTCTTATTTATGTCTTCATTAACTCCAATCAATCCATCACGTGTAGCGTTCCAATAGAAAAATGGCAATTTTAATAACAAACCAACGGTATAATTAATGATATAAATCGAAAAAACAAATCAATCACCACACTAATTCCCTACATGTTATAAATATTTGTTATCAATAAATCAGATTTAAATATTCAAATCATTCTGGCACCATTAAGAAAATTTGTCATTAATTAAATTACCTAATTTATCCAAACACAAAAGCCCAAGACACACCTCGACGATCAAATAATTCTTCGGATGCCTTCGGCGTCTAAAATACGAGGTATTCGAAATTAAGAATGTCTTCTGCAATTCAAAGATTACGGACACATTAAAGGAACCGTATCTAGAATTTATCATCTTTTATATTCGTGAAATTTACATAACAACGAATGCATAATTAAATATGTTAGATTAAACAGGATTAGTCTGAAATATTTTTGTTTCGTCTATATAAAGATATATTTTTCTTACATTTACATAAAAGGCTTTTCAGCTTTGCATCATTTCGGACATATTTATGATCATTAATGGTTTAAGAACAAGTAGAAACTATTAGGAAATGGTTAGATTGATTATTAAGCCGGGTTCTGTTTAATTGAAGAAAACAACGCTAATGGCTTTAAGCGAACTTTCAACATAAATCGATAAAATAAACAACAAAGGTACAATAGATATTTTAGAACCTCCACCCACTGAATTTTTCAGTCTGACATCGAAACGAATATCGAAAAACAACATCATAAATCGATTGAATTAATTTACATGTTAACACCTATTACAGCGTATTTCTTTGTGGAAATGAAATGCTGCCACCGGCCACTACAGAAATGATGATTGGTTCCGATAAATTTAGGCGTGGACAAATTAAACTGTTCAGATATATTTAAGTAGGAGGTGTAAGTTATTAGGTAGAACCTGATTTAGGTAATATTACAGCTACGGGCTTTGCTTAATAAATTTACCGCCGCCTTTAATTATTTCTCTATAGAAAGTCTTAACGTGGGAAACGACTTATATACGACGAATAGTTGTAAAAATCCAGACATTTTCCAATCCTTGCTCTTCCAGAAAACCCGCAAAATTTCCTAGACCTTAATTAAGATAAAGTTTTAATCGGTGCAATAATCCTATCGGAAACATTTGAAAACTGTCGGCTACACACAATAAAGCCCCACTGAACATTAAAGCATTTTAATTACAAAGTCGTCCAGTAGCAGCAGTGGCACGGTTAAAATTCTCACTTAGAATTCCAGCAATCTATGGGCTGTTAAAATGACTGCTTTTTCTGAAAAGACATCGCACTAAAGAGCCTTAAAAACAATCCACTAGCTGGTTCATGGTTACCGGTTTGCGTTTATGTTGAGGACGAAAATTCTCTAGTAATATGAACAAGAAACTGAAGGCATTGAAGCCAGCACCGCGCAGACTGTTCCTTCTATCATTACACCTCAACACCTTCCTTCAAATCATCAAAAGATTTTCCAAGTTCCACAGATCGAGGCAAAATCGCATGTTTTTACATGAAATATTCCCCGGTACATGAACTATACCGCTCCCGGTTTTTTTGTGGCATTTCGGGGAAGCCTGCAAAGTGATCTTCCTCACGAAAGACATTCTCTACATATTAGGGCGTTTAAAAACTTGCATGGATGCTTAAGTGGTTGTACGTGAACCCATACTAACTTGGCTGATGATCGTTTACGAGTGCCTTGCTCAGTGGTCTAACTTGTTCTTATCGGTTCAAGGAAGACGTTCGTACGTTACCTCATAAATCGAGAAACCCATTTGGACAACAATCACACGGCGAACGCAAAAAATCTGGAACTTCCAGAGTATTGACGCTTTTTGCAGAAAAGCGAATAACAAAAGGTAAAATCATCGCTTAAAATTTCATTCTGTTGGGATTTTTTAAAGCAACATGTACAAGTCCCAGACGTGGTTCAGCAGTATTAAACAGGAGCTATAAAAATAAAATTCGACCTAAATACCGAAAACTCTTCAGAGGCGTTTTGCTGCCGAACAACAGCTTTTGAACACTCAGAACAACTTTCTTGTCCTGTGTTTCAAACACCATCACCATCTGAAGCGGAGATAATCTGGAAATCGAATTTTCTTGGGCTTCATACGAGTGTTAATCAGAAGTTTTCCCGATTAGTTGCAGGATCTGAAGCTTTGATAAAACCGTATGCTATACACGAAACGTTACACCTAAAGCTACTCGTGACTAATAAATATGCGGCATATTTCGGGAATTTTAAGTGTCAAAAATTAAATGACAAAACTCCGAGTACCGTGTAGAAATTCTCGTTATTTTTAATGGCCAGTGGCTTAAACGTCCCAAAAATTCCTCTACTACTTATATCTCAGTTATGATCATCTAGCTATAAATTTTGTCAACCGAACGGCCACTGGTAAGCCTAGTTTAGTGCAATAACACAACTAATTAGAATTAAAGTCAGTTGAAGTGTGCACAAGTGTAATAAAAATTAGCTTTCTGATAAAATTTTGTAGCTTTTTAAGAATAAAGCTTATTTTCTCCAAACACACCCTCTACATATGCTGGGGTGCATCTTATGTGGCGTCCAGACCTGACGAGTCAAACCTAAGTTGAGCCTAAGCCGCGGCAAATTCTTTTGATGTTTCATCAAAACACCAACAGAAAATGGATCGTCTATGTAGTGAAGTACAGTTATTAAAGCTCTTATATTTAAACATATTAAATGTCTAGTATACATATTGAGAAATTTTTGAATATTTGAAAAACAATAATTTTATGAGAAAATTCAAAATATACAAATTTTAAATGACGGGTTTGGGTATAATAATGTAACGTAACATTTTGACGAATCATCAAAGGGATTTGCCGCGGCTCAGGCTCAGCTCGTTAGGGCTAGATCCCAATAAGACCCGAATTATTTGAGCTAAAAAAGCACGTTTGGAGTATTCGAAATTTCTTGGAGTTTATCTGCGAAACCATCTAACAAAACCCTCTCAATTAGCGCTGGATTATATTGGGGGTGTTTTGACTACTTGCACAAAGCTTGCCAAACTGAGCTAAACACTTTTGGGCAAATGCCGCCTACATTTACCGATCTATGAGAGCCTCACGAAGGAAATCAATTATTTGATGGATATACCCCACTGACATTCAAACAAGAAAATCATCGATGACTTAATATTCAATTACTTCGCTTTAAATAATCTTATATCTTGATTCACGTCAGTAACTCTTAATTGCCAGCATGTCAATAAAGGTTTCTGGCGGATAAGATCGCTGATTGTAATCTCATTTTTATACAAGAGTCCTTGGGTGTTTTTACTCTACATCAAATATATTCTATTAGCCAATAAAGACGACACGCAAACGAAATTATGACCATCGAGAATTCGTAAATTGATGTGCTTTAGAATGCTTTGTCATCCCTTAGTTATTGGACAGAATGTGGAGTAAATGGCAGCGATAAATTGGCCCTGAATTAGTTACGGGTGCCTTTTTCAGGTGCGCTCGTTTAAATTATTATCCGAAAAATACGACCTTAATTGATACAATTACAATTAATAAACAACAATTTTGAGCGATTAAAAATATTTATTGTGAATTTTTTGACTCTAAACGCCTCTTTATTAATTCGGCATCGTCTGCCAGCTTGTAATTAACAAGTAACGGAATTCGCTCGCATTGTGTACACGTTATTAATAACGAAAACATGACGATAAAGTGCCATTAAACCGCTCAGTGGGCACCAACGCCCAGGTGGTAAGTTCGGCATGCAAAGTGTTGCTTAAAAATGCAAATAAATCGACTAATTACAAAATGAGTGCGACTATCATAAGCCAATTAAGAGACGATCTCGTAATCGCGTGCAATAATTTTTCCGCCGGTCATTTTGAAGGCCGATAAATAATCGTTCCAGTAATTAACCTTTACGAACCGAACGGCCTAACTAAATTAACTTGTATACTCGTATGCTTTGGTGTTAAGTAAATTATAAATGTTCAGTAACTCTTGCTGCGCTTCACTGATTTGAAGTAGCATTCGGGGAAGTCAAGCTCCTTTCAAATGATTAAGAATTACTATGTTACTAAGGATGCTAATAGACGCTCTTTTACAGCTATGCCAGTTAACAGGTTTTCGTATGTGTGCTGCCTAAAGAATAGAGAAGGTAATTTTCGAAACACCATTAATATTAATTTGTTGGGTTTCTGCACTCGATACCATAAGTAAGTAATCCTCTTAGTCTGTAATTAAACTCGAAATCCGCTCAATTCCTAATGCATTCAAATCCGGTGAACCTTTGTTTCAATCTGTCAAGTCTCGTATCTAAAACGATCGCGACAGAGTACAGGAAAAGTAACCAGCTTAACTTAAAAATTAAACCCTAATAACCGCTTAACAGTTAACATTGGTGGGTTAATGAATTCACGTCCACTTTAAGGCATCGAAAGCACCTTATATGCGACAATTTATACGTCCAAATTATTAGGTATAGTATATAAAGCCTTAAAAAAAATTTAACGGTCGGGATATTTTCGATCGTATTGAGCGAAATGCGATTAAATCTCTTAATCCTCGTTGGTTCCATCGACACGACGATCCGGTTTTCCTCGTTAAGTAAAATATGAAGTGTTGAATCAGTTAAATCAGTACCCACTAAAATGATAACTGTAATACTATTCAATAACTGCCAGTTATCGAAATGAGGAATTACGGGACATAAATTATACAAAGCTGATTTGTACTAAAACGGATGAACCTGAATAGGACTAAAAATCGAGACTTCAGCAAAAGCACCAAGAAATATAAGCCATATTGAATCCAAAGAGGATATCGGCAAGCGGGGCGTTGAAAATTTATTTAGCAAAAAAATATAAACAGATACCAGACCAGACTTAATTGCAAATTTCATTGCCTTCCGAACAGCTTCTGCAATCAATAGTAAGAAGCGTTTCAAAACCAAGCCAAATTATTTTTTTTCGCTAAAGTTTCATCATTTTTTATTTTTTAAAACAAAGCTTTTTATCGAATAAAAGTTATTCTGTACATATGAGTTCCATGTGAGATTTGTGCATGTTCTTGCGCAAATAAATGTCGAACGGCGACTTGCTCAAATATCCGCGAAAACCACATGTAACTTTGAAAAATTCCTAAAACTTTTTTCATTTGTAGAGCAGACTTTGTCCTACCGATGTGATACAAAAGTGACTTTCTAACTGCAAATTCCTAAGCCAATAAATGTCGAACTGCGACATGCTGAAATATCCGCGCAAACCACATGCAACTTTTGAAAAATTCGTGAAAATCCGGTGATGACTGAAAATCGAAACTTTTAACACTTGCAGACGAACCTCTGCCCTACAAAATACAAGCAACAGCCACTATCTGACTTCATTAGTTTCTGCTCAAATAGCCTAAACCGCGGTCTGCAAAGGCAATGGCAAAAAATCAAGTTTCCAAATTGTCAAACATTGCCAATTGCCAGAGAAGAAACAAGACCTTTTAACACAAAAATTTTTCCGACAAAATAATCAACAAATCGGTTTAAATAAAGAGCTTCTTGCTTCAAGCTCGTACACCTCACAGATAAGAATGTGTCTTTTCTAATTAAACTGGAGTAGTTCTACTAAATAGCATTACCATAAATTATGAGCAGCTGTCCGGTAAAAACGCATACAATTTTAAGCAAGATCGCATCAGACTTGGTTCTGACATTAATGATAATAAATCATACGAAATATGATCCCCCACTAGAACAGTTTTCTGGTTCCCTTTCAGCAATTATAAATACGACAACGATCTGAAACTTCTTCTCCCACACAATGCGAGTTAATTATAACATACTTCCAAATCGTTTTATATCTATGCAAATGACAGTTTTAAAACTCTGGCCCCGAATTAAGCCCAGTTTTATGGGATTCGAGATACGGATATCCTTTGAGAACTGACCACTCAGATAATTACCAAACGTATCTTTCTTATCTTCGGGTTTATTGGTGCAATTTTTCTAAATCAGCCTCCCATTAAAAATAATCTCCAAATTAAATAGCGCTTAATTTAAATTGATCGAAATTTAAATCGAAATCGGGTTTAATTGTTTTGCTTGCCGTTATCGACTAGTATAAATGACGAACATGCTACTTTAAAAAAATCTATTTAAATGAAGCATTTATTAAGGATAGCTTCTTCCATTCCCATACACTTGTAAATTATAACTCTGGTTGGGAGCCGATTATTTATTAGTTTAATTGTGTGTCTTAAATAAAATAAACATTAAAGATAACTTCTCTTAAGCAAACATGGCTCTACAAGGCGCATGGTAATATTTAAGAGCGCGATTACTTTATAGTGTTCCCAAGAAGGATGCTTAAATTACTGTTTAAAAAACGGCTTATTTTATGAGCAAGTTTTCAGGATTAGATAGGGCATGCAAACGGGTAAAGCGATTTAGCGAATATTACCACATCCTTTCTTGGATTTTAATATGCAACTAGATTGAAGTTGAAGCAATATTTTGTATAAATCAATTGTTTGTAAGTAAAATATAATGAGAAATGCTGAATCTATTCAACAAATGAGAGCAATAACTTATTTCCAGTTCGCTTCAATTAATTCCTTTGCTTTCCACCTTCTTGAGCCCAACTAATAATAAGAGAGACGAAATTCCCTGCGGACATACCCAGTACTGAAATTCGAACTGAAATCGTCTCGAAAGACGGGCATTTTGAAATTATTACTTGCGATGTAATTAAATTCAAAGCAATATATCACAGGATTGTTAGTTAGCTTCACTCCAGCCCATAAATTGCAAACAATCTTAGCTATTTATATTAGTGTTAATCAGAGATTTGCCTATTAAATGAAAATAAATAAAGCAGAGATAAATTATTAATTTTACACACTGGCAGAATTGCGATTTGATGATAAGCGCAAAGCAATGTCGACAAATAAACGCACAATGATCAAGCCAAAGTCAATCGCAACAAGAAATCATATAAATCGCGATGTTCAATCAAAGAGTCAACTAATTGAATTGTTCAATTTTTTTTCTCTTCTAAATCGAATCATCAATAGGTATGAGAAAAATCAGTGCAAAAATAGTGCGAGCAAAATTTGAGCAACAAATATTTGGCTAATAATTAACTTGATAAGAAATCTCTTGAATAAGTGTTACAACATGGAACACGGCTCTTTCTTCTCCAAACGAAAAAACAGTGAAGATAAGGCAAAATCGCACCTATAAATAAAGCGAGATAAGTCCGCAAGATCTAAATAAAACTTCAATAAAGGAAACTCGTTCCTGCCTTTCATGGGCTGGGTTATTGAAGTAACATGGAGATATATTGCTTCGCATTTAATTACTTGGCGAGTAATAATTTTAAGGTATTGTGTCTAAGATACATTTCAAACATGTTACTGTAATTGTTTCGCATGGGATTTGAATAATTTTTCGCATTTAGTTCAATGTCTCGTTAATAAAATCGAATGCAATTCTAGTTGTTGGCATTCTTCACTTCCACACCTTCGAAAAGACGCAAAGTGGTAACTTTTAAGGATTTCCGCCAGCACTTTGCTAGCAAATGGCTCGCTTGTGTTCATTGTTATGTAATTGATTTTTCTGACTGAAACAATGCCGGATAAATCCGACATATACGTACATCTGAAGCTAATTGAAAAACAACGAAGAGCCCATGGAAGATCTTGCTGTAGGAAGAAAATATTATCGCAATCCCGTATCATTTTCAGCCCACGCATTATTTCACTTCCTCGAAGGTTTTCATTGTTTGTAAGATTCTGATGAAAAACGCACCCACTATCTGTGGAAGTTCGAAAAGGTAATAATAAATGATAATTGAAACCGTTAGATCATATTTATTAAGAAATTGGCGTCTCTGGCTATTAGGCAAAGGAGGATTGTTATTACGAAGTATCAAGGATAGCATGAGCCTGTACTATCCTCATTCCACGAAAACTGAATGGAATTTTCCCAAAGCCCCAATTGATAACATTTCATTGTTTTTAAGTAGTTACAACGTGGCGATTGGACGCACAATTAATATTGACGGAAATTGCGTTTGTCGTGTAATAAATCCATTCTCCTTGCACTTTCTGGACCCTTTACATCCGTTATCGACAACAATAATAATTGTAAGCCATTTCAAGTAGATTTAATAACCCAGTGTACAGAGGCCAACGATCTTTATTATCAGCAAAGACACAGAACGCACTGCACTATCAGGATGAACCAGTAGCGCAACCAATAACAGCGCAGCAGTTTGGAAAATCACATTGACCAACCAAAAATCCTTATCTTCTAGACATATTCTGGGTATTTCCATATTTGCACAGAAAAAACTTAAAAATAGGCCGGTGGTAAACTGAATCAAATATTAAGAGAAGCACCTTCCCTCCACATCAAATATAAATGGATAAGAATCACCAGAGATCGTCAGAGGATGGTTGAAGGTATATAAAGAAACAGCAGATAAATAACGTTGCAAGTATGAGGCAATGAGGGCAGAAGAATCAATGGGTTAGTAACGCCACTGGAGATTGATATTAAAAGGACATCATCAAAGATTCCCAATAAATATGTTGAAAATAGTACGGGCCTGTCCGCCTGCAGTGTGGGTACTAAAATTAGATGTAATTAAATTTCCGGGATTATTTTTAGACATTTAGGCTTAGATCAGTTTTTCGAAACGAACTTATTCAAATAGAGTATAGAGAATATGTTTGTAAATAATTTGCTGGTTAGTGCGATTTTTCTTTTAGGTAAGTCTAGATTTATTCAACCATTTTGCGCTTGGGGCCATTAGGACATTGTTAGATAATAATTGATTGGCCAATTAAACAGCCTCAGTGATCGTCAAAAAATGCATCATTCCAGGTATCAATTACTGCTTAACTTGCGAAACTGGACAAACTAAACAGGGATGTTTAATACGCGATAGAGTTTGCTCTTGCGGTTATGGGTGCATTTCCGATTACCGGTATGACAATATGCAGGAATGCCAAGCTGCATTAAAAGGTAAGCTAAACCTTTATTATGCGAGATATAAGAGAATATTTCATGGGTGCCGTTATTGTTTTTTGTGCCACCCTGTGAAATAATGCAATTATTTGTACATTTTGCGCATGCGCACGATGAATAACGGATTTACATATTAAGAAAGGACTGTTGGAGCCGGTTCTGTTCAATTGGAGCGATGGTTTCCGGCATAATTCACTAAGAAACCCATTTTTTGTTAGAAGTTTTGCGTAATTGTTTCTTGAATGGATCTGAAGGAAAACGCAAAACAAAAATTATCTAAACCACTTTAGACTATTGCTGTGGTTCAGTCACGCCAGTAAAAGTTTTCACTCTGTATATATGTAGAACCGTCGAGCGCCCCTAAATGGGTACACATTTATACACGAACGATGTTTATGTTGAAAACTGTTACTCACCCTGAATATTCAAATTCAATCCATTTTCATATAGAGGTAGAATCTTGGAATTCTAGACACTTGTATACCTGACAGTTCACCTCAAATGGCGGAAGCACGAGAAGTTATTGCATTTGCGCTGCTTTAATTCCAAATATGGCCGCCTGATTGTCAAGATAACTTCAGAAACACTGCCGCTTTTCCGCATTAAAACACTTTCCCCGGTTTCGAAAATTAGAACGAACGCGAGATTGCTAACTTAACTTCCCGGAAATAAAGCGCTTTCGGGTGGAAATTTGTTTTTTTTTTGGTTTTTCACGCGTTTTGGGTGGACTTTACACGTTAAAACGGCCTCGAAATTTGTGGAGAGGGCATGGCCGTTGAACTTAACAACCAATGACCCTGACTATCTAGTTGTCTCTTTTCAATACTCACACTTTTTCATTGTTTTCTTTCTAATTAATATAAAAATTGTTGAAATGTGTCAGTAAAAATGTCTAAGAATGTCAGAAAATATGCAGATCGCATAAACTTGAAAAATTACACTATTTGGTATATAAAAAACAGAAATGCATTTTAAGGTAAAAAGAAGGATATTTGTAAAACCAACAATCCCTGCCTGCATGGAGGAACGTGCATCCAAATCTCTCAACAGCCCGGCTACAAGTGCAGATGCGAAGGAACCGGATTTTTCGGCATGAGATGCCATAGAGGTGAGCCAGAAAAAGCATCAAACAACCTTCAGATAAACCCCTCAATGTCCTCAAATCCCTATTCAATAATCAACGCTCTGACAAAGAAAAAAAATCCAAACAGCCTGCAATGATAACCCCATTAACTACATCACGATAACATGGACGGAAAACATTCATTAAAACCGAATAAAACCATATGGAGCTCACAATCATTACAAGAGTTACATATGTTTACAAGAAAGATAACAAAAGCAATTATATAAATTTTAAGTCAACGTCTTTTTTATATCATTCAGGTCATCAGCAAAACCGCACTTTGTACAAAAACTTATCCTGAATCCGCACATTTATACAAAAAATGACGCATAAAAACACATCGATGTTTGCAGCATTGGGGAAAAACGAAATCACTTTGCTTTGTGTAGACTCAGCAAATTCTTAAAACAAAAATTTTGAAGAATAGAAACTGCATTGAATATCACTAAGAATTCAGTAATTTATGTTGCGCGAATGTTGCTTAGAAAGCTTGCAAAGCGCAGAAAACAGCGTTTTGATACCCAAATTCAACAAAGGCAAAGCTTTGTTTAATATTATTATTATTTTAATTTAAATAAAACAATAGACATTTAGTGGCAAAAAATTGCCGAATTCGAACATAAAATTAAAAAACGATTCTCAAATCACTGCAAATTAAAATATTGAAGCGGTTTTTGGAAGCAAATATTTTAAACGCTTCTGATGTGCATTTTTAAGCCATTTCATAACAAGGAAATATTGAAATATTTTCCAGTCAGTGGTTTCGAGCATAATTTCAACCGGATACGCTACAAAATTTTCAGATAATTTACCGCAATTGCTTTCTTTGGTTGCAATTTGGATTTGAAAAATTGATTAAAAAATCCACCAAACTGCGAAAAAAAGCAAAAATTTATGCTAGATGCAAACTTTGTGTAGTAATTTAATGTTAGAAGGAATGTTTCGAGATGTGTTAATCCTAGACACTGCCAAGACCGGTTTCGAGCGCACCAGCTCTCATCAACTGGGTTGAGCCTGAAAATAACACGTACAAAAGCAAGTTTCGTCGGTGTAATTTTCAGGCAAAATCCCGCTGATGAGAGCTGATGCGCTCGAAACCGGCCTGAGATTAGCACATTTCCAAATAAGTACTCACATCAGAAATTAATCGGAAAATTTGTCTTTCCGTTTTAGCATGTCCCATCCCAGGAGCAGGCCGAGTTGGAAACATTTTCCCATACGAATGTATAGTAATATAAAACTATATAAAGTATTTTAATTGTAGGTACGTGTAAAGGTGATTTAATAAAAAATGGCCAATTGGAATCGATTTAATTGAAATCCGCCGATAATAATGATGTCACTTTATTTGCTTTTAAACTAAAACAATTTTACAAATAGGAGATAATCCACATTTAATATTTAAATTTTTTGTTATCAATAATAATAATAATCGTAATCATCATAATATTATAAACAGCATCACAGTACCCACATCAGCACGTGTTGAGACAATTTCATATAAAAACTCATACTTTGTTATACAATTTGCAAACTGACGCCTGGGGTTAAATTTTGCCGAGGAAAAAATTCGTTTCCTTTGAATCGAAATGACTAAACTATCACAGTGGGTCAAAATACATAAAGCAAGGCCACATGGAAGTCTACTAAAATACCACACCGCAGTAATATTAGCCGAGACTAGATCGATTTTACCTCATTCCTAAGGAAGGAAAAGTAAAACGGGTTTGGACAAATGACTGAAACACTACACAACTAAGCGCAAACCCCAAAACACTTTGGCACAAATACTGAAAAGCCTTTGTTATTGCTAAACTTCCAGAGGAATGAAGTAAAACGAAACATGTTTTAACAGGTAGGTAACCTTCTCTGTTCGTTTGCCTTAGCATGAACATGTTACAACTATTCATATATTCATATACACGACGATATGTTCCTAAAACTACAATATTCACTGGCATTAAACACTACTATGACTTCCAATTTACTATAAAATACTACAGATGAATCAGCTAGTTTCGCACTGGGTCTGTTCACGTAATGTTCAGAAATTTGTTTAAAAAAATTATATCCAGTCGATACAAAGGAAATATATTACTTTGCTATCTAAACGTCTTTATGTCTACGTCCTAGTCTAGACTAAATTACTCAAACAAATCCAAATAACTTTCTTTTAACTGCAATACTAAATAGTTGACAAAGCAGCATCTTTAATACCACACTTGAATAATTCAATGACTTGCTCGGGAATTGATTATTGAAATATATTGCAGACTATTAGCCAATAAAATAGCAAGAATAATTGCATACAATATTTAATCTCAAGAAGACGAGCAACTCTGATAAAGCACTTAGGTAGTAAGCGAAAGTATGTTTTTTTATGGAAGAGCATCCGGCTTTAAACCCTTAAATTTCCTGAAAGCGCTTTGGGTTACTCCCACAACTTCCACTCTACTGATAAGTTAAAAGCTGTGTATGGCCAGGTAGAAGTTAAAACAGTGTTGTTTCCCGAATGAAAAGGAACTGATAAGTAGCGAGAACATTTTAATGCTGAAATAAATTTGTTAATTGGAAAACGGAAAGCTACTGGTCCAGAGCTAAGTTATTATATGAACCCTTAGGCGCCGATAGAACGATTGATTAGTGATTTCGCGAAAATTGTTTATCTACACAGCGGACATTCGAAAAACCTTTGTCTAAATCACTCTGTACAAAGAAAAAGTATTATGTGGCGGGTAGGTACTGCATATTGACTGCAACACTATGGTTTACCTAGAGGAATTACCTTAAAACACCAAAATAAAAGAAACTAAAAAATACTTACATTGTACAGTTTTACTTGCAGTCTTTCTAGTTTTATATTTTATTCATACTCTAATGCCTTAACTCTGTACTCTAAGGATAAATTCATTGTATTTATATATTTGTCAATGGATTATCTTTTTTTTATTTTTGGTTTTTATCAAGCAGTGTTTATATTACTTAGTTTACGATTTATATGATACTTTTTTGCGATCGCACCCAATATACCAGCAAATCACCATCATGAGCGCCACCCGATACTAATACTAGGCGAAACACATGAAAGGCGATTTGGAATTATTCGAATTTTTAAACGAAATGTCTAGTTCCAAATGCTAGGAATGGCAGCATAATACACCGTGAAGTCGGGGTTTCAAAGAAATTATTCTCTTCGTCTATAAAGCGAGTTCAATTTGCTCTTTTCACACTTTCCTTCATGGCTTTGAATACGAACTAAAAAACTGGATAAGACTCAATCAGTTTCTCAGATAGCTAAATGTCGTTTTGGTCTATTTTTATCAACAACTCACTCTTTAACACACTTTCAAATTTCAAAAGCAGTTGCAGATGGCAAGAGGCAACTGAAAGAATGTGGATTCAACGGTTTTTATTTTTACCTATTTTGTGTGTTTTCTTGGGGGAGTTTGGCAAACATATGCAATAACTATTCGTGTACGGAGCCAGGAAGCCGATGCACCCGAAAGTCGGGAGAGAAACCCTTTGTACCATCAGGCCCCTTTGGTTGTCTCACCACTAGTAACTTAGGCCCTGTATCGTCCAGGGAAACAGTTCTCAGTCTACTTATAAGTCTTTCCGGTCTAGCTAGCACATCACTAGAAGAACGTGGTGTTTAAATTAACTACTCAGCAAATGTTTTAAAAAACCTGAACTTACTTGACTTTAACAACGTGACAAGCAGAAGATTTGCCACTTCGGTGATTGGTAACTAAGACGAATTCAACGGTATCGCCCACATTCAAGGCCACAGTGTCTTTTACTTCAGTCATATGGAAAAACAGCTTCTTGCCTTCTTCGATTTCATAGGCGAGAAAGCCAAACTGGCCTTTGATAGCGTCAACTGTGGCGCGCAGTTTCTTGCGAACAGCAACTATGTTGGCTGCCCGATTGGTGGAATCTACTTGGAACTGTACTTGGTCGCCCGCTAGAATAATAAACTCACAAAAACTGTCCGGATTGCAAGCGGTTTTATCGACTTACCTTGAAGTAGTTCGCGTTTGTTTGCCAGTCCCACTATGCCAAATTCGTACTCTTCGGAGTTCTCTTCGGGTGACTCTGTCCGGATTTTAATCAGACCAGAGTACTCCGGTTGGTCAGGTTTGACGGATCTTAGCGGACGAATTACCACTCCATCCAGTATATCTTCGTGAACGGCTGGCAATTCAATAGAACCTAATGGGGGGAAAACAGCAATAAAAACTTACGCCCAAGCGTTGTAAAAACTATCAACCTTTGGGGATTATTTTCACGTTTTCTGCTGTTGAGCACGACCCAGAATTCCCGCGGCTTGCCAAGTTATACTCCACTTCTTGGCCCAGTTGTAAGGTGCTCGAGTCTCCTTCAAAGTTACTGAAAAAAACCGAAAACCAATTTTATTAATCCACCTTGCAGCTAAACCGAAAAATTGTACCTGAAATGGAAAAACACTTCGTTGTCATGTTGGGTTGTTTCAATAAAGCCAAATCCATCCTTCAAAGCGGCTATAAATCCTTGATATATTTGACTATTCGTCCTGGTTATGTTATGCTTAATGCCGTTGCTTTGGATAGCTGATTGGGTGATTTGAACCTTTACCGCTATGAATTCTTTTGTTCGCTTTACTTGATTTACATCGAATTGTACCTGAGAAACGATTGATAATCATAATTGGCTTCCATGCACGATGGATTTGCGCTATCTAATACCTTATCGCCAACTCTGGGTAAATGCTTAATATCACAATCCTTCGTGTAGTAAGCTATGGTTTTCTTGATACCGTTGACATTGTAACTAATAAACCCAGGTTCGCTAGTCTCGTTTGTTGTTCCATTTTGCATTTTCGATGGGCTTCTGTTCAACCAATTGCTGATGGGGATTTCCTTTGTTATTACACCCGTCATATCGCTGTCGATGGTTACCTCGAATTGTACTGTGCCTCGAGGCAAGCTGAAATGGACAATTTTCATACCAGCATTACCGACTCGGGATATCCTACCATTTCATGCGAATTGCGTTCTGCCGGTTATCTTTGTGGCCAGTATTGTAGGAGTTCGCTTGATCCTGGATTGCAGTAAATTCGAACTCGTCACCGACTTGCAAATTATTGGTATGATTCACATCGAGAATCTCGTTAAAATGAAAAAAGAGTCGAGCCTCCCTGTCAACGCATTTCAAGAAACCGAAGCCTGAAACAGATTGAACAAGTTGATTGTAATCGCTCGGGCATTTTATAGCCGGAAATGTACCATCTTTCAATGACGCCACTACGCCTTGTTCCCGCTTTTCTCCAGAAGCTGCAAAACTCTCATCTAATAAAACGATATGAGTAGCCCGATCTAACGCATCCCTCCGATCAGTGGCTATTTGGAACTTGACCCAGTCGCCGTACCTACAATATTGCAACATTTGGCAAATTTTAATTCGGCACCTCGGCTGTTTACCTCAGCGTAAAGTCGCCCATCTGATCCTTCTCGCTAAAGGAAATTTCTCGGATTTCCTTCGAGTCATCTACTTTGTACGTGATTCGACCGGGAAGAGGCTCATTTGCCGACCTGGGGCTTTTGTCGATGGCTTTAGTAACTTGCCCCTTTAGAGTGTCCATCTTGAGATCTTCGAAGATGACAGTACCAGGGACCAACTTCGTGATGTTGCACGCAACTTCCTTGCCCTGCAAAAACAAACCATCAGATCTACTAAATTCGCTGCTTTGCGGAACCGTACATTTCGTGTATGAATAGTGTACTCTACATCATCCCCCAATCTTAACTCTTCTTTGGTTTTTGCTTCAGAGAAATGGAAGAATATTTCCTTTACCACATCGGCACGTTCGATAAAACCAAAACTGTCTTTCAGCGAACAGACAACTCCTTGGTATTTGACTGGATGTTTGGGGTTTTCTAGGCGTACATGGCACGCTCCCAGATTTCCTCTAGAAATATGCAGTTTCGCTGCGCTTCAATAATAGGGGTGGGTGGCTTAAACTTACCGGTTATTGGTGGCGATCTGAAAACTGACTCGATCTCCAGACCGTAAAACTACATTTCCTTCTACATCGTCTTTTGTGTAGGGTAAGAAAAAACATTCACCTCTATTTTCGTAACTAATTCTGCCCATTGTGTCTCCCCCCGAACCTTCGCCTTTGACCTCAGTAGTAACTGTACCGGTAACGCGCTCTTCACTCATTACCTGCAAAAAATGTACTTCATAGTTTTCAAGTTTGATTAGAAGCCTTGTTTTCAATAGTAGACTTCGTCCAACCAGCGATTTTTTTATTACCTCAGGAGCAATTTTAGTTACAGCACTGGCAATCGGTTTACCAGTCCGTCTATCATAAGTCATTTCGAATTCAACCGGATCTCCAATTTTCAAGTGCTCAATGTTGCCGGTGAATTGGCTAAAATGGAAAAACAAGCGTGCTTGCCGTTCACAGCACTGGATAAACCCGTATGAATGCTGCAATAATAAATAAAGAAACCATCAGCAAGGGTGTTTTTCCGTGATCAGTAACGGTTAAATTGTGTTCAATTAACATACTCACCAGCAGTTTTTCAATGATGCCAGTTTCCCGGGTTCCCATGTTAGCGGCATTTGACGAATCATTATTATAGCTGCTACTACTAACGCTATTTCCATTTGAAAATATGTTTGATGATGTATTCATGGAACTATCACCTGAGCTGAAAATCAAGTGAACCATTCAAGAAAGGAGCTCGTGTTCTATTACCTAAGAAAAATTTACTGAAATGACCACTGGTTCAAGTGGCTTCAAGCTGTATGGCGTTTGAGAACGGAGGTTCATGTACCTGTTAAAGACATTATTGCTATCCATTGAAAAGGTTCCAATCGCTGGAAAGTTCCTGGCAGAAGCATGAGTGGTGCTGGAAGAGCTGTAAAGCCCATTGCTGTAAGACATTTGACTGGAACTGGCCTTTTCCGTTCCCAGGATCGGAAACTCCTGGCTGAACCTGGTATTCGAGCCAGATCGGTTGAAGTTGAATGAAGTCGATGATCGTTTACCTGAAACCAAAAAAATCCATCCATGTTCGTTGAACGAGCAACAGAAGCTCCGCCATACCGTTACTGGTCATAGTCTTGAAGTCAATAATAGGTTCTTGATCCAAAGTGTCGGGGGGCGGCTGGAACGATTTCCACTGAGGATTGTTCGACATGTTCATTCACTGCTTCTTGATTAAACTTCTTCACGTCTTATCGTTTCTTAAGTGTAGCGAATATCACAGAATGGTTATCCGGTATTTGAAAAATACCCCACAATACAGAAGCTGATGTATGGTATGGATCTATCAGAAGAAAAACGACCGCAGCACAATGCGGCTTACAAAATGGATCAACAAAAGCTACTCGCTTCGAAATTAATCGATTTCCAGTTAACAGTCCACACAGTAGTTTTATAAATCCATTGTTATCAATAATAAGTAGGAAACATAAAAAAATCGTCCAGAATAATGTTATTTAAAAATTATGCGTTCACAGTCACTCAAAAATTTTTATGGAGTTGTGATAACAGAAAAGTAAATTAAAAATCCTCAGATGTCTTCAATGCGTGCTGGGTGCGTATTGTGCTGTAATGCTCGAGATATTTTTGTCCATAAGGCCAGTCGTTACACAGGTTAAAACACAGGATACTTTTGATTTTCTACACTAAATTTTGAGATTCTTAGTTACACAAGCTGAAAAGAAGAAACACCGTATTAGAAAACCTACAGTAATACTAAGGCGGATGAATCCGCCTAGCAAAGAACAGTTAATTATCTTAATTAACTTTGCAACTTTGTTGGTGACATTTTATGTGTTAAACCATACAGATTAAGGACTTGCTGTGAGAACCAGGCAGTTGCTTTCTTAACATTATAGATTATTTATATTAATGTAAAGCAGATTGATTCGAATATTGTGACAAGTTCAGTTTAATAAACATAACGCGATAATCACTATTTAGTTCAATTTATTCAAGAGGGACTAATGGCGCATCCTGTTCTAAGGCTGGTAAACATACACGAATATCTATCACGTATGCAATGATATTTCGTTCGTAATTATTAAGACAGCCGAATATTTATGTTGATGCTGTTTTTGTAAATAGTTCGCTGATTAGATAACGCGATTTTTGTTCAATTCCAGCTGGTAACGTTCACGTTAAATTCGTCATCCCATCTTGATTGTTATGATAAATAACATTCATTTTTGCTTTGATTACAGCGGTTACATGTGCTACAGCTAGAGTAAAAAACTTGGAACTGCTACTGAATAAGAAAGCGAATAGTTGTTGCACCAAAACGCTATAAATTTATTACAATATTGTGTGCACTTAAATGGCTGATTAATTAGATAAATACCATTAATCAGCACACCTCACCATAATTGCATTGTTCCCCAGCAAATTGATTAGTACTATAAGTATGCCTCAATTGTGTAATACTTAGTTACTCAAGTACATGCATTAATATCAGACAATGTGATTTTTTCCTGTCCAAGGCACTGGACAAAGTTAACAAAATAAATATAAACTTTTCATTCCTTTTTGGGTAATTCGCCTTAAAATGTTGTCGAACAGAGAGAGTTTTCTCACGATTTGAGAGTGCGGGGGATTAAACTTCAAGGGAATATTCAGGGCATCAATAGAAGACATTTGAGTCTTTTACTTGCTCTTTAGTGATTGCCCGCTATTGTTTTTGTAGATTTTCTTTGTTCGTCCCCTAAGCATAAATATCTGAAGCCTCAATTCCTGCCAGTGTTATTATTTCCTTAATCATATAAAATTTGGTGCTCGAAATGCCCAGTATTTGATGCTTTTTACTTCGGCTATTCATCTGCCTGTGTTTCTGCCAAACCTGCCCCATTTAGGGCTTCTTTACATCTTCTGACAAGCTTTTTCCGTCGACTCTTTCGGGCAGCTTTCCTAGCCCTAATAGCTTAAAGCCCAGTGTGTTTTTGACCGCTCTTAGCGATGCAAAAGTGTTTTACAATTACAAAACACTTCAACTGCATTTGCCTGCCGGTCAATCAAAACCAGCACACGTATGGAAACTTCCCAGTGCATCTGAACATGTGCCCGCTAAAACTCCAACGTGGTCTCAAAGACTTCGGTCTAAATATAACATTTTATTACAAAATCCTGAAGGTTAGAATCAATTGAATGTGGCATTCAACGATCTAATACGCACCTAAAACGCACGTTGTTGGGGCCGAAACAAAAATCTTCTCTAACCGATTGTAAAGAGCAAAAGAACAATCACAAATGGTTCAAAGCAAAGCTCGTCTGAGCTGGTTTTTTTCCCAAATTCTAGTTAATCGAAATCAAATGGCAGCATTAATGTTATTTTTAGTATGTCAACAAAATGGTTCCAGTTTGTTTTTGTGCGATTGCAGTGTTTTATTGAAACCGTTGAAAACACCATAGAAATTTGGGACAAGAGGGACTGTTGGGACCGAAGTATCGATTTACTAATAAAGAAATATCGTCGGGTGATGGATTAAAACTGTCTGTAAACCTGGAGCAATAAACGCTCATCGTAATCGTCGTTTAATCGGCGTTCTGAGGGGGTTTTGAATGGGCAGAGCTGCTTTGGCCGGAATCAAACACACAAAAGACAATTAATGAGGGTACAAGGGAACGACATTAAACCCGGATTATGGCGCTAATAGAACACTCACTGGGCTAGACCTAGTATAGGAACTTAACATTAGGATAATAAAATCAAGTTACGTACGTTTTTGAGATAGAATAGATGGAAATTTTGGAAAAATTGTGAAAATTTCAACTCACCACGACACAGCACAGCACTGACGACATGCCGCCATGTTGAATGTCAACATCGCTCGCACCCCGCTCCGCTCATCTTTAGACATGCTTTTCGCCTTGCGGGAAATCGCACCATTTGATTGGCTGGATTGGCTCAAATAAACAAAGAACGACATAGATTGGAAAAATTGTGCCTGCTTTCCCACATTATCATCTGCTTATTTTTCCATTTTCGGCAAAATTTCCTTGCAATATCAATACTTAATTAAAAACTATTGCTTTTAGGTCTAAAATACTTTTCAGCAGCGGGATTGTTTAATGATTTGAGGATTTTAGACTGCAGAAGTTCTGACGTCATAGCGGTGTTGATGTGTGAGTCATTTGAACAATGTGCGATTTCGTATTGTGCTTGACTTTGACAAAAAGTGGACAAAAATATCAAGATATTTTTATGTAGTGACAGTGACAGTTCTACGTTTATGTCTGTCAGAGTCAAATTTTGGGATTAAAAAATTAGTGTTGTGTGGTTTTTTGAGGAAAATAGTGTTCAACCTGGGTTTACTGGGTGCTTAAATGCCGTGGCTGCTTTGGTGTTGGACGTGCATTTCTCTGTTCAATTAGACAGTCGCAATTCATAGAGACAAGTACTTGTCTTTGATGAGCAGTCTGTGCCATTGACTGAGTGTAGGTGTAAACATGGAGGCAATTTTCCATGAAAAGGTAAATAATCGGGTTTTTTTCGAGTTAAAAAACACTGTGGATGGAGTTTTGCGAAATTAATCGCGCTGAGAGCATGACGTTGTAATCTGTGAGTAACGGTGTAATCGTGTATTCACTGGGTGATGCGTGTTGTCTCTAAGGCTTCTAACTCTTTCAAGACCAGATACTTTTTGAAACAGGTCTTGAAACGCTCTATCAAAAATTGTTCATAACAACTGGTTGAATATTTCCAATCGTTTTGTTGTTGATATTTTTGCTTATAAACAGTATCTTATTCAGTAAGTATGTCATATTATCAGTAAGTATGTCTCCTAGATTTGGGCCTAAATCAAGGGCGGGTCCAGGTAGGGGGGGTCATGGGGGTCATGACCACGTCAAAACCACGCAAATCTAAAACTTCTTGAATTCAAGCCTTTTTTTGAGAAATCTGCCAACATTTCCCCATCCATGCTTCACTTTCTAAAAAGGCCATTTATTTCTGTCTAGAATGATGTACAAATGAGCGTTTTTGCGTCCGAGAAATGAGCAAAAATGGGACGGAAAACACGAAATGTTGGCATAATTCTTGCACCTAAGTGTCTGATATTCAAATTTCGCTTTCTGGGTCAAAACTACTCGAATTTCCTCACTCACGTTGTCACGACTGAATCGAGTTTTTAATTTTCTATCCAACGATGCCAAAACGAATTCTGTGGCTCGAATGGTTCTTGAGAAACTTCGAAAAAAGCAGCGTCATGTTAGAGTGGATTTTGCAACTCAAAACAAAACCACGCTAATCTAAAACTTCTTGAATTCAAGCATTTTTTGAGAAAACTGCCAACATTTCCTTATCGATAGTTCACTTTCTAAAAAGGCCATTTATTTCTGTC